GGGGCAGCCCTCTGGGTGGTACCAGAACCGGGCGAGTCTGATGCCTGCTGGAGTCTGAGAGCCCCTGTCACCTCCTGCCTTCCTGCGTCTCCTCCTAGCTGCACCCCAGCACCCCTCCATGGATGTTTGTTGAGTGAATGAGTGAGTGTATTCACCACACCCGGCTCCTCCTGGCCCTCATGCCCGGAGCCACCCAGCCAAGCTGGGTGCCCGTTGGAGGACACTCTCTGCCCTTTGCACAGGATGCTTGTGGCTGGGGCAGGTGGAGTCTGCCTTCATGAAAGCGGAGGGAAAGGCAATCAGGGAAGGCTTCCTGTAGGAGGAGACATCGAAGGTGGACCTGGGGTGACAGCCAGGCGGTCTCTGGGTGGGACAATAGGCTTCCGAGCACAGCAGAGACAAATCCAGGTGGGGAGGGAGGAGGCCATCACGGCGGCCTCAGGGTGCTTGTCCTGGAACCCGGGCCCCACCGCCCGTCCCGCTGTCCTCCCCAGCTGGCGCTAAGGAACGCCCTGCGCTACTTCCCCCCGGACGTCCAGGAGCTGCTGGCCCCCGAGTTCGCCCAGGAGCTGCGTCTGTACGGCCACATCTACATGTACCGCTTCTGCCCCGACGTGGAGATGAAGTGAGCTCTGGCGGGCGCAGCGCCAGAGGGGCCTGGAGGGGGAGGAGCGGCTGGGAGGAGCGGGAGGCGGGCGGTGTGGGGCTCAGACCACCTGAGCCCAGACGGGGTGGCCTTACCGCCGTGGCCGGGCTCCCCCTCGCAGGGCCTACCCGATCGATCGGTACCCCTGCCGGACGAAAGCCGCTGCTGCCATCATGCACATGCTCATGAACAACCTGGACCCCGCCGTGGCCCAGGTAACAGCCGGGGAAACTGAGGCCCGGCACCGTCCAACAGAAACCTCACATGAGACACGAGGTTTGAAGCTCGTGACTCTGAAATACTGACAGATTCGCGGGAAGTCGCAAAGCTAGCGCGGGGAGGTCCGCGTGCTCTTCCCTCAACCCTGTCGCGGTGAATGCGCGTGGCGTTCTCAAGTTTCTAATGATCCCCTGAAAAAGGAAAAAGAGACAGATCTAATATTATATCTCATTTACCCTGATACGGCCAAAATATCGCGATCGGTAGAAACATGCGTCGTGAGATATTTCACTTGCTTTTTTCACCACCGAGTCTGAAATCGGGGGTGTGCTTCACCCGTGAGGCCGGGCATGGTGGCTCACGCCTGTGATCCCAGCACTCTGGGAGGCCGAGGCGGGAGGATCGCTCGAGGTCAGGAGTTCGAGACCAGCCTGAGCAAGAGCGAGACCCCGTCTCTACTAAAAATAGAAAGAAATTGGTCAAACAATTAAAAATAGAAAAAAAATTAGCCAGGCACGGTGGCTCACGCCTGTAGTCCCAGCTACTCGGGAGGCTGAGGCAGGAGGATAGCTTGAGCCCAGGAGTTCGAGACCAGCCTGGGCAACATAGCGAGACCCCTGTGTCTACTAAAAATAGAAAGAAATTAGCCGGACAACTAAAAATATATAGAAAAA